CTTGAACTGCCTATGTAGCCCAGGCTGGCCTTGAACTCACTTTAATCCTCCTGCGTCAGCCTCCGAGTGCTTGTATTACAGGCATGTACCCACTCTTGGCATTAAGATACCATCTTTATGGCAGTACTTTTTGGTTTATTTTTTACTTGCAGAGCAAAAATATAAAGGTAGAGAGGGCTGTTAACAAGGGATATGCTAGTACACACCCTTAAGGATTCCAATTTCATCTCCCTTTGGGTTGCGGGTACAATGGAATTCTTCCGCAGTTTCAAGGCTTCTGTGTCTTCAAGAATCCCCACCCTTCCTGTCTATCCCTGAGGCTGAGGTTTTTCACTGTCAGATACAACATGTTTTGAACCATTTCTTAAGAATACTTCGAGTGGCAAAGTGCCCTGATTTATTTTGGAGTAATTTCTAAGTTGAGTTTCTATTGGTTGCTGCTGAATATTGTAGGAACTCTATCCCTAACTAATCATGAACTAGATTTTATTTAAAAAGAAAGAATAATACACACACACACAGAGGGAGAGAGAAAGAGATGGAGAGAAGGAGAAGGGGGGAGAGGGAGAGAGTGGGGTGAGGCAGAGAAAGGGAGGCAGAGGCCCAAAACATAAATGCAGCTCCTGATACAGTTCTGCTTGTGTGGAATGGTATGGCCATGTCTCTGGGGACTGGGCTAGATTCACTAAGGAGGTGTCCCAGGCAGCCTAATAGTCACACTGACCATCAGGCAACAGGGCTTGGGGGCTGACGTCCTCTTGCCTCTCCTCCCCATCTTGGTAGGGATGCCCAGGCTGCTGCGGGTCTTCCCAGTGGCCTCAGGTGGGCCATCTCTTCCCTTCCCTCCTCCCAGGGGCTTTTCTCAGGGACGCAGGCTCCCTTCAGTCCTCAGCAAGGCTGAGAGTCCCAGGCGGCTAGCAGGCGTTTCTCTTGCCTCAGCCCTGGTAGACTGTGGAGCCAACCTCTCAGCGGTTCTGAAACTTTGGCTCATCCTCTGGCCCTCTGTGGGCCAGTGGTGTGGCAGCTCTGGTGAATGTTCTTCATCAAGTATTTCTCTTCAGCTCTCCAGTGGCCCCGTGAGATTGGTATCAGCTTCAGTTCACAGCTGAGCAGAGGGAGGTCTGGGGAGTGGTCCCTGAGTGTTCAGAGCTGAGCTGTGTCTCAGCCACACAGCACGTATTAGTGTTGCAGGTCTGCTCTGCTGGGTTAATTTAAAAATTTTCAAAGTTTGTTTTACAAAACTATTTCCAGTCATGAGGCCCAAGTCTGGCTGACTTATCTCCTTTTTATTCCAGGCTGGTCATGTGTGTGGAGACAACGTTGACCTCATAGATGGGCAGCCCACAGGCTCTGTGAGGATTTCCTTTGGGTACATGTCTACATTTGAGGATGCCCAGGCATTTCTTAGGTTCATCATAGCCACTCGCCTGCGCTTACCAGGTGGCCAGCCTGTCCCTCAGGCCAGCACTGGGGAGGGTGGCGCCCTATCAGCAGAGGGGAAGGTGCAGGACACTTCTGCAGTCAATGGGAGAGATTGTGTCTCACGTTGGGAAAGCACCTGCATGGACTCCAGCGTTTGGAACAACTCCAGCTCCACCGTGAATACTGTGGGTTTGTGCCCTGCTCTGAGCAAGGCCTCTAGCACCCAGCAGACTCTGTCAGAGAAAGCTGCAGGCATCCTGCCTGGGGACCGTGGGCCACACATTGTCACCAACCTTTATCTCTACCCCATCAAATCCTGTGCTGCCTTTGAGGTAGGGGCCTTCTCTTTGCACAAAAACTGCTTCTCTTTGGTTTCTGTATAATGTTTTTTTTTCTTCTCCTAAATAAAATGAAGAAAGGATATAGACAGTGAAAAAAGCATGCAAAACTCAAAATCATATGGTCAGAGTGCGGTGGATATGAAAAACCGATTCTCATTTTGCCTTCTTTATTGGGCAAAATGTAGGCTGACTTTTTTTTTTTTTTTTTTTTTTTTCCCCAGTACTGGGAATCAAACTCACGACCTTGTGCTTGCCAGGCAGGCGTTGTGCCCCTGAGCCAAATCCCCAGCCCCTGTAGGCTGACTTTTGAATGGGACTCTGCTTACAGGAACCCCTCAGAGGACTCCTGTCTTGGTTATTTCTCTCTCATTGCGGAGACAAAATACTCGATGCCTAGAATTAAGGAAGGGAAGGGTTATTTAGCTTACAGTTTGTGGAAGTTTCAGTCTATAACAGCTGGCTCCAAGGCAGGGTGGCACATGGCAGAGGGCAACAGTTCAGGTGGCAGAAGACAGCAAAAGCAGCAAGAGCAAAAAGGGAGGAGCTGTAGCAAGCCCTTCTTTCTCTCTTTTACATTGTATGTAAAGTATCTGCCCCAGGGCAGGTGTAAAACTCATACCCACAATTCCAACATTGGGTCATGAATCAATCATAAACTCTAGAAGCTCACCTCGTGACTGCATGAAGCTTTGGGGGATATTCGGACACAAACCATAACAACTCCATTTCTGAGTGGTGATACCTTATTGCTGTTGATCACAGTAGCTATAACTTTCCCTGGCCGGGGAAATAGCTTGGCAGCACAAGTGCCTGCCTGGCAAGTAAAAGGTCCTGAGTTCTTCCCAGCACCAAAAAAAAAAAAAAAAAGAAAATGAACTTTCCCAGAATGTATGTACCAGCCCCTTGCTGAAGCATTTGATACGCTTCCTTTATCTGATACTTAAAGCAATCACATAAGGTGAATGGTAACATTATCCCCAGGTACGGATCCTAAGTAGGTTGAGGTTAAGCACTTTGCCTAGGTCACCTGCTAATAAATGACAGAGCAAGGATTCGAATCTGTATTTGCTTAGCTTTAGGTCTTTGGTCTCATGTGATTTGCTCTGCTCAGTTGACCCTGTGGTATCAAACTGTAGTCAGGTTGTACATCCACTGATTCAACCAAACAGAGATCAAAAATATTTTTAAAAAATGTATCTGTACTGAACAAATACATACTCTTTCTTCTTGTCATTATTCCCTAAATAGTACAGTACAAGAACTATTTATATAGCATTTACACTGTGCTAGGTAGTATACATAATCTAGAGATGGGAAGGTGGATGTGCATAGGTTATGTGCAAATACTGCACTGTCTAATATAAGATTTCAGTATCTGTTGGGGATCCTGGAACCTGCAGGCCGACATGTACTATATCTGCATACAGGTGGCCAAGTGCTCCTCATACCCAGAGGCCTTGGCTGGCAGCTAGCCCTAGACTCCAAAAGGCTGTCTTTCCTGCTGTGGCCAACCTGAGGCTGTCTTTCTATAATCTTCATGTGTGTCCCAAGGTCCAGACTCCTGAGCCTGGGGTGACAAGTTGTTCAGCTCCTCATCAGACATACAGAGGTTGGGCTGTGTGCTGGCCTGCATTCCAGGGTGTTCCCCTAAGAGCCTCCAGGCTGAGACCTAAACCAGGAGCTTCATCCCCACTCCTGAGCAGAGGCAGGTGAGGACTCTGCATTCCCTCTGCATATGAGGACTCTGCCTTCACAGCTCGTGTGCGTTTTATAACACAGACACAAAGATGGCTCGGCATGGTACAGATGAGGAGACTGAGCTCAGCGAGGGCATCGTCTTCCTTGAACCAATAGGCTGATAATACTAGAGCTACAGAACAAGTCTTGACATCTCATTCTTCCAAATTATCCTGATCCAGCCGTAGAGTTAACCGCTTCTCTGAGGAGTCTCAGTTTTTGTTTTTTTTTTTAATTGGGCAATGGTATTAAAAAGCGGGATCTGGGTACTGAGTGTAGTTTGTATTTTAGTTTTGTAGAAATATGAAGAATTCAGAAAAACTTACACACTTAAAGTGGATCAACTCAGCATCCCAGCATAGCCACGGTTTGTGCAAGAGCCGTATTTGTCATGTTAGGATGTGCCCGGACACACACCCACTATAGCAGAAGGGTGTAGAAAAAGCAGGAGCCGTGGGCATTGTGCAGAAGGGTTTTGGATACGGTGGGACAGAGTACACTCTTGTGCTTTTGGAATGTCGTGCATGAACACAGCTTCCTGATTCAGAACACAGCTTACTGATTCAGAACACAGGCTGAGGTGGACATGGTCGAGGAGTGGATCTGGAGGCTGAATGAAAGGTCTCCTGCTCCCACACCATTGTCTCCTTTGCATTGCCTTCTTCATTTTGCTTTCTCTTCTTCTTCTCTTTATTCCTTCAAGTGTGTGTAGAGTTCATGAAATCCACCTGTATTTGTGCCCCCCCCGTGTGATAATGTGAAATGCATCTTTGAAGAGCCGTAACCTAAAATACACCTACCTTTTGTTTAGGTGACCAGATGGCCCATAGGAAACCAAGGGCTGCTGTATGACCGCAGCTGGATGGTTGTAAACCACAACGGCATTTGCCTGAGTCAGAAGCAGGAGCCAAGGCTCTGTCTGATCCAGCCCTTCATCAACCTTCAGCAAAGGATCATGGTCATCAAAGCCAAAGGTGTGAAAACACTTCATTTCCCAGGGTAGCTGTGGAGAGAGCTTTCATATTCAGATAAAAATAAGCAAATATCTTTCTGCTACCAAATATTAAAAGTATTATAAAGTGAACGTGTCAGACAGACAACAAAAAGCTTGTTTCCCATTTGTTTCGGGAAATTTCTGAGAAGAGGTAACAGTTTGACAGTCCAGCCAGAAAGGAAAGAGCTTTAATCTTGGAGTTGTATGATATCCTTTGCACTCACCTTTTGTCTTTGTTACTTTTCTCATTGCTGGGACAAAATACCCAACCCCTAAAGTTAAAGGAGGAAAGGTTCATTTAGCTCACAGTTTGTAGGTTTCGGTCCATAGTCAGCTGGCTCCAAGGCGGGGTGGCATGGCAGAGGGACATCACAGAAGAGACACAGTCCATACCAAGTGAGGCAGGAAGTGTAATGCAGCAGCAGCCAGCCTGCCTTCCCTCACTTGCTTTGTTTTCTATCCAGCCTATAACCTTATTGACTGGTACCACCCACACCCATGGTGAGGCCCCCACACCAAGAACTGTGCTAAACCCATTTAGTTATCACACGTCCTTAATCCCAGTATCACACACTGTAGATCCAGCCACCTCCAAAAGCCCTCCTGCCCCTACTACACAAAGCTCTGGGGAGACATCTAGATGCAAGCCATAACACCTTCCTTTTCTCCCTTCACTCATAATGTGCATTGTAGGCTTTGATTCTTCCTTGGTGGTTTTAACACATGAAAATGTGTAGACCAACTCTGTCCAATAGAACTTTCTGTGGTGAGATGTCCCGCACCTACTCTGCCCAGTTTGGTGGTCACTGGTTACCTGTGGCTATTGGGCACTTGAACTAAATTTTAAATTGTATTTAATTTAAATTAATTTTGATGGCTTTATGTGGCTAGTGGCTACAGTGTTGGACTCATAGAATAATGTAACACATAACATTTAGCCACATTTCCTTCAGATCCTCCTCCTCCTGTATTCTTATTTACATAGGCATGTGTCTATATATGTATATATGTATGGATTTATCCTAGTACTAGGAATTGAACCCAGGGTCTCAAAACCAAGGTATATCTCTAGATCTTTTTATTTTTTGAGATAGGGTCTTGCTAAATTGCTCAGGCTGGGCTGAATTTGAGGTCCCCCTGTCTCAGCCTGTCAGAGTGCTGGAATTATAAGTATGCATGATCATACCCAGCAGTCCTTCTTTTTTTAAAGAAATAATAATAAAATATTGTAAATGTGGCTGAAATGTTCTGTGTACACTTCTTGGGTCTTATTCTTTTGCCTTTCTCACCCTACCTACCACTAACAGAATATTCCAATTTTTCCCCTAATTTGTAGCTGAGCTTAAGTGATATACTACATTTTCATGTATTTATGATTGTTTTTTCTTCACTGTGGTTTTTCTATTTTGGCTATTTTTCCTTGAATCAATAGGCCAGTATCACTATAGTTATAGAATGAGTCTTGATATCTCCTTTTTCAAGTTATTGGGTTATTCTTGGCCTTTTGTTCTTCCATATGAATTTTAATGCACATATATATTTGTGTAGCCATCCCCACAGTCAAGGTACAAACCCCCAAAAAACTCCTTTGTGCTACCTAGTGTAGCCTGCCCTGCCCTAACCAGAGATCCTTTCTCTATTACTGTAGTTTTATCCTTTTGAGAATGTTATATTAAAATAGTATAGTAGGTGACCTTTTGAGATTAGCTTTTCTTAGAATGATGCCTTTAAGATCCCTTCAAGTTCTCACATGTGGCAGTAGTCATTCTTCTTTATGGTTGAGCTGTATTCCAAAGTATGAATGCAACAGTGTGTTTTATCCGTTCATTTATCAAAGGCTATTTTAGTTGTCTCTAGTTTTGAAGAGTTATTGTAAACTTTTTATTTATTTAGTGTTTTGAATAGATAAATGCTATGACATTTAAAAAGTCATTCTCTCTTGCTGTAACCTTGGTCTCCCAGTGTCAAAGGTGTCCTTCTGGAAATGTTTAAGTCTACATGAGGCATGATGTACACGTGGTACCCCACCAGATCTGTAGCTACCAAAGGACTGATAAACCCTGGGGTCTTTTGGCTGGTCAGCAGCCTCCAGCACAACTGGACAGCCTACACTTACTTCCCTGGATTCTGGTTGTGGGGCCACATGTTTATAGAGCCCAGACCTCCAAGGGATGCCTTCCAGAGAGTGCTATCCAGTTTTGAGCAATTATGAATTGAACTGTAAATATTCATATAAAGGTTTTAGGGAAACCACAGTTTTTATTTCTCTAGAAGAAATAGCTAGGAATAGATTCTGGGGTCACATGGAAATATATGTTACCTGTACATGAAACTGCTGGGCCGTTTTCTAGAGTGGCACCATTGTGAATTCCATTCAGCAATGTATGAGAGTTTCAGTTGTTCAGCATCCTGCTAGCCCTTGGTGTTGACAGTATTTTAAATTTTATTTATTTCAATAGATGTGTAGTGGTTTCTTTTCTTGGTTTTCATTTGCATTTCCTTTTGGCTAATGATGTCAAACATCTTTTTGGATATTATTTGTGTTTCTTGCATCCTTGTAACCTATGGATTGTTAGAGACGTGGCTAAAAATCTAAATGTTTAGAGATTTCTTGTTATCTTCCCATTATTGACATTTAGTTTAATTCCCCTAAACTCTCCAAAAAAGAAAACATATTCTGTATGTCTTTAATGCATTAAAATTTGTTAAGGTTCATTTTATGATCCAGGATACCTATTGCCAAGAGCATTCCGTGTGTGTTTGAACAGAATATGATTTCCTCTATTCATAGGTGAAATATTCTATCAATGTCAATTGGATCCAGTTGGTTGATGGTATTGTTCAGTGTTTCTATATGGTTGCTGGTTGTTCTGCCTACTAGTTTTCTGTGCACTGCACAGGGTGTTGAACTATAATTGTGGATTTGCCTATTTTCCCCCTTTATTTTTGTTAGCCTGTGCTTCATTTAGTATTATTATGAGTTTTTGGTGAATTGTTCCTCTTTAAGTAGTGTCCTTCTTTATACATGGTAATTTACTTTGTTTCACACTGTGAAGTATGCAATTATCTTTCTGATATTAAAAGAGTCACCGACCTCTCTTTTGATTATTATTTTTTCTTTTTTTGTGTTTTTTTTTTTTTTTTTTTTTTTTTTTTTTTTTTTGGTTTTTCTCCGGTACCGGGAACCGAACTCACGACCTTGCGCTTGCCAGGCAGGCGCTTTTGCCGCTGAGCTAAATCCCCAGCCCCCTTTTTTTGTGTATTTCACTGGGGATTGAACTCAGGGCCTTGTGCATGTTGGGCAAGCACTCTGCCACTGAGCTACATCCCCAGACCTGATTAATTTTTTTTACAGTGTCATTTTCCATATTTTCATTTTCTTCTACCTTTACTCATATGTGTAACATACCCTGAAATTCATTTACTTAAAGCCTACAGTCAGTTGTTTTTAGTAAATTCAAGTTTAGAACATTTCCATATCTGTTAGCAGTCACTAGCCATTTCTAGCCTCATTCGGGAAGCCACTGATTTACTTTCTGTTTCTATGGATTTTTCCACTATGATTTTCCCATGAATGGAATCATACAAGGTATGATTGGCTTCTTTATTTAGCATAATATTTCCAAGACATGTTACAGCATGTATTAGTAAATGCTATACATTTTTTGTTGTGGGATAATATTCCACTGAATGGATGTACCGCATTTTCTTTATCCATTCATCAGTTGGCAGATATTATCATTTTCCTACATTATTGTCCATTTGTGTATTTTCAGAAGAATGTCTTCAAATTATTTGCCCATTTTAAAAAGGATTATTAGTTTTTATTATTGAATTGAAAGAGTATTTTATATATTCTGGATATATGTTTGTTCTTTAGAACTGCTTTAAAATTATCTCCTTTTTGACTTTTGATAGTTTGGTTATAAGGTCTTGGAGTGGATCTCTTTGGGTTCATTTTATTTGGCTTTGTTGTGGATTCATTGGATCTAGAAGTCTATTCTTTCTCCAGATTTGGGAAACTTTCAGCCAGTATTTCTTTGCATAAACTTTCTGTTCCTCTCGTTCTCTTTTCTCCTTTTTGGACCTCCATAATGTGTATATTGGTCCTCTTGATGGTTCTTCATAATTCCCTAAAGCTTTCTGCAGTCTTTTTCTTTTCTTCTTTTGCTTCTCTGAGTTATTGCCAATGACTTGTACTTGAGTTTCCTCATCCTCTCTTCTGTTCAGTCTGCTGTTGAAACACTTGTAGTTAGTTATAGTTTTATGTTCTTTAGCTATTATATTTTTCAGTTATTAGGTTATTCAGTTCTTATTATTTCTTTTTGGCATTTAGTTTTTATTTTTTTATTTTTTGGTACCGGGAATTGAACTCAGGACCTTGCGCTTGCCAGGCAGGCACTTGTACCACTAAGCTATATCCCCAGCCCTGGCATTTAAATTTTAAAAAATATTTTTTTTTGATGCTGGGAATTGAACTCAGGATCTTGTGCTTGCCGGGCAGGCATTGTGCCACTGAGCTATATCCCTGGCCCAAAATCTTTTTTGTTGAAACACTCACTTTGTTTATAAATTGTACTCTTGACCTTGGTGAGTATTTTTATGAGACTTTAAGAAATTCTTCATCAGGTAAATCATATAACTCCATTTCATTAGGGACTGTTTCTGGAAATTTATCTTGTTTTTTGGTTTGGAACATCTTTTCCTACTTCTTCATTTTTCTCCACTCTTGTGTCGGTGTTTGTGCATTCGACAGAGCAGGAAATTGTCTCAGACTTCACAAGCTTCATACAGGAGATCTTCACCAGTCAGCATGACCGGAGATTGTGGGGTTCTCTACCAACTCTTTCTCTCTCTTAGGAGAAGCAGGAAGCTGCGGGTTTGTCTGCCTGCTCCGAGGAGGGAGGAGGATCAGTGGTATCTGCCAGCCCAAGCTTCTACCTCCTTTCTCCTCGAGGTGGCTTAACTGTGCCGGACTCA